TAGAAAACTTGTTTTTCTTTAATGAATCTTTCTTAATTATTTTTTTAAAACATTACACTAACGGACATTATATTATAAGCTCACTTAATTAATTGAAATACATTACAAGGTAATCCCTCCCGCGCGAGTTACTGTAAAGTGTAAACATTATACAATAGCTCATTATGTCAGTATAATTTACTCTATTATTTCATTTGGTTCATGTTTTATATACTTCCTTTTTTTTTTTATAAGTAACTTCCTTTTAAAAAAATAATTAAAATTTTAAAATATTCTTAATTTTTTGTTTTAAATTTTTTAATTTTACATCCACAACATTTAATTTAGTACTTTTTTTTACATATCTTTCCTCTTTTTTTTAATTTTTACATGCACTCCCTTATTTTTCCTTCACCCTACCTATTTTGGTAGCATGTGAAAATTGAAAGAAAAAAAAAAAGTGTGTGAATAAGAAAAAGAAAGTAGCAAATTGAAAGTTGAAAGTGTAAAATTAAAATTTTTTAAAGAAATTATAATATTTTATAAAAAAAAAATTTAAAAGAAGAAGGTGTACTTATAAAAAAAAAAAAGAAAAAAAAAAGAGGTGTATATATCATGAGCCTTTCATTTTCCATGCTTCATGCTGAAAGCCCGAAATGCGTAACCATGGGCCGGGGAGAATTATTGGCAAGTATTGTCCAATAGGCCCAGTAAAAAAAATGATTAACGTGGGCTTAGATGAGACGGCGTCGTTTCTGTCTCAACCGCCAAAATCCCTACCATGGTCCTCCCTCGGCCTCAATTTCAATTCACCATAGCATAAAATGTTCGCGGTAGCGAGACTCGTCCGAGTCAGTGCCACCTCAAACTCAAAGCTTGGTCTTCACCGGAGATCTCTGAACCACCACCATGCACCGCCACTTCCTCCGGCGTTCTACCTCTCGCGCCTCTGCACAAACCTGGACACTCTCCGAAAGGTCCACGCATCCCTGGCGGTGCACGGCCTCGGCGGCGAGCTCCTCCTGGCGACGAAGCTCCTCAGCCTCTACGCGTCCTTCGGGAGGCTCCGCCACGCGCGCCTCCTCTTCGACCTCCTCCCCACGCGCGACCTCTACTCGCTGAAAGTGATGACACGCGCCTACTTCCTCCGCGACATGCACTCCCAGGTGTGATTGTGGCAAGTTCCAGAAAGTTCATATCCCTTGCTCGCATGGTCACACCCCTGGTCACACTAGGAAGACATATCCAAATATTGGTCATGAATTCAGTTTCTGCCACCATTGATCTTTATTGTTGTATTGAATTTTAATAAATTTATTTAGTTATATTTATAATGTTAATATTCAATAAATTTAATTATTTAATGTTAGTTTCTGAGTTTTGGTATTTGATAAGTGAAAATCGAACAAATTTTTTTTTATTTATACGCCAGAACGGCCCGTTCCGGATATAGAAAGGCCTGTTCCGGTTCCACTTTTTATGTGCTAATTTTGAATCTGGAATGGCCCGTTCTGATCCATTCGTCATGTGTTATTTTTTAATCAGAAACGGCCCGTTCTAGTTATAGAACGGACCGTTCTAAACTTGAACAGTAAATGATGCTAGTTAGGGAAATAAATTTGCACGATTATTATTTGGGTAAATTTTTTTTAAAATATTATTTGAGTAGAAAACTTGTTTTTCTTTAATGAATCTTTCTTAATTATTTTTTTAAAACATTACACTAACGGACATTATATTATAAGCTCACTTAATTAATTGAAATACATTACAAGGTAATCCCTCCCGCGCGAGTTACTGTAAAGTGTAAACATTATACAATAGCTCATTATGTCAGTATAATTTACTCTATTATTTCATTTGGTTCATGTTTTATATACTTCCTTTTTTTTTTTATAAGTAACTTCCTTTTAAAAAAATAATTAAAATTTTAAAATATTCTTAATTTTTTGTTTTAAATTTTTTAATTTTACATCCACAACATTTAATTTAGTACTTTTTTTTACATATCTTTCCTCTTTTTTTTAATTTTTACATGCACTCCCTTATTTTTCCTTCACCCTAATTTAGTGCGATTCCATTAAGTGTAGAGACCATGGTGGGTCGTTACACAAAATATACTAAAATATGAACACTTTGATTACCTTCAAGTTATTGTTCAATTTTAACAAAATTTGACATATATGATCTAAGAGATATGAACTTTCAATCTAACGGTTGGATTTTCAAAATTCACATTTAATATAAAGTTATTGAGCGGTGTAACACTTAGTAAAAATTACACCGGTATCATTTGAACCCTCCTCTCTCTCTATAGATATATAAGGAGGGTTCAAACGACACCGGTGTAACATTTACTAAGTGTTACACCGCTCAATAACTTTATATTAAATGTGAATTTTGAAAATCCAACCGTTAGATTGAAAGTTCATATCTCTTAGATCATATATGTCAAATTTTGTTAAAATTGAACAACAACTTGAAGGTAATCAAAGTGTTCATATTTTAGTATATTTTGAAATGTATATATTACGTCAATTTTGTTTTATGAGAATGAAGTATCAAATCATCTTAGATTAATATAAAATTTGA